TCGACGAAACTGCGTGCCGTTACTTCCTCTAAATCCTTCCTCTCCCGCGACTTCAAATAAATGCTAGCCTGCATCTATACGAATCATTCTCGACGAATCTGTAAAGAAATTTAATGCGAAAAAATATCATGTTCCTGGCTGAGAATATAAAGTGATACTTTCGAGATAAATTTTTTTACAGATTCGTTGAGAATGGTTCGTATAGATGCAAGCTAGCATTCATTTGACGTCGCGGAGGACGGGAGATCTATTAAATACAAGTGACCATCAAGTACTTATTAAATTGATTAACTAATTTGATGTCGCTGAGGAAGGAGGATTTATTAGATGCAAATGAGCATCAAGTACTTATGAAATTGATTAGCAATTTAATAGGTGATAATACGGTCCTGTTTCAATCAGAGGTTGCGTTGAATCCGGAAGTAACGGCACGCAGTTCCGTCGAAGTTAGGATACGTATGTAAAATCACATCAGAAAATATTATAATAGAAGCTCCAAGATCCTGCTATGACCGTGCATTGACCTTCTTTATTCTTTATGTGTGTAACTCCATTTTTCTTCGATTTATGGCACTTTCTTGACAATAATACGAACAGGCATGTTCAGATATGTGGATATAATTTCGGGCATGATGAAAGTATACATACGACACTCGTAAGCCTTGAATACTGATGACCTGCATACATATGAATTCGTAAACACATGTCAAACTGCTTATTATAATTTACATAAATACTCTAGCTAGTGCGTTTTTTCAAGCAAAAAAATCTTTAATCTGTAATCAACGGCAGCGCGTGTAATCTTCATGTGATCTTATTTAACAGGTGTCGCAAGCGTGATAAATTGTGGAAGATATTAATATAACTTTATTGCACATTTCAAATAATTATTGCAGAGTTATATTCTGTTGTTACTCTGTATAGGTATAATTTAACATTTGAGGATCGAACACCTGCTTTTTCGTTATTTGATCAATTCTTAATGCAGTTCTAATACCGGCAACCGTCCCGTCGTCCTGACATTATGGAACGTTGAAATAATTCGATACAATTTTTGGTTTAACATTGGTGTCATTAGTCAATATTATTCTATCACGTTTTTTGCTTCAATAATATAGACAGAACGCCCCTACCAAAGTTAATTTATTCCTGAAAAATATGATTTTTAAAATTTAATGTTAATGAAATAATATAATTTTTCGATATAACATCAATAAAAAATAATTCAATATCCGGTAGACGCATGCAGATGTATTGAAGAAGCAAATAATAGCATTGTTTTTGAGCGCAAAGAACGAAACCTGAGAAGTAAGGGGAAAAATCAATTGCGACCATTTTAATTGATCAGAAATACTTAGTATATGCAGAGTGTTTCAATTTAACATACTTAAATTTCTCCGGAACCATATTAACCTGTTTCCGCGAGATTCTATGGTATTGAAGAGGACATATTAAAAACAATTTGACCTTAGGTGGAGACATTATGATCAAATTTTAAGATCAAAGGTCAACTTTATTTTTTAAATGGCGGCCTAATTTTTTTACCACCCTACACCACAATTAATACATGAAATTTTTGCGTTTATATCATTGCTGGATAGTAAACAGCTAATAAAATAATACTTTATGACTATTGCATCGTCTTCAAGTATTTCCATTTTTTTTTAATCATATCTGCTGCTTTCTCGGCAATCATGTAAACCGGTATGTTTGTGTGCGCCGATACAATTTCGGGCATGATGGACGCATCTACTACTCGTAAGTTTGAAATACCAATGACCTGCAAAAAGTTGAATATAAATTTATAAACTCATGTCATACTGCTTATTATGTATCGTATGAATATTATCTAGTGCATTTTATCAAGGAAATACCTTTAATCTAGGATCAACGACAGCAGTTGGGTCACCACGTGGTCCCATTTTACAAGTGCCACAAGGGTGAAAGAGTGTATTAGATCGTATTCTTATCATGCATTCCCAATAAGCATCAGAATCATACTCGTAATTTTTGCATTCCATGTAAGTAATGTTTACCAACTGAGAACCGACCGCCTGCATTGTCCTTGTTTGACCAATTTTTACGGCAGTTCTAATACCGGCGATCATCGTCTTGACGTCGTTTGGATCATCAAAATAATTAGGTACGATCTCTGGTTTAACATTGACGTCATTAGCCAACAACGATATCCTACCACGACTTTTTGGTTTCAACAATATTGGCATCGTGTACCAGCCATAGCAATCACCATATTTGATCCGTAGGGATGGATCATCTTTAAAATTTCTCATTATAAAATTTATTGGTTGAATACCAGAAAACATAAATTCGATGTCTGGTAGACCGCTGTGTTTATGTGGTTGTTTTGTATTAATAAAAGCGATGGTTTCGATTACTCCCGGACTCGTCCATGGTCCCGTTCGACTTGTTAGAAATTCCATCATGTACGGGTTAATAGGATTAAACAATTCGGATGATGTTAAACTTTTCGATGCATTTATTGTCCAATACAATCCCAAATAGCCTGGATGGTCCATGAGATTCTCGCCGACTGGCGCATTTTGGAGAACTTTAATGCCTAGTTCAATAAGGTGTTTCTCTGGTCCGATACCAGAAAGCATCAACAATTGTGGTGATCCGACAGCACCCGCGCACAGAATCACTTCTTTGCTTGCATTTACGTGTACAGTCCGATTATTTTTGATAAAT